ACGTGAACTCTGCCTTGTGCCGTGGACTAGTCTCAACGATCATCGTTGAGGAAACCACGTAAATCTTGCGTCTCGTGTTCTTGTGATTCTGTGTTCGATCAGGTTCTTGACAACCACAACACTAACACTAAACACCCGAATGACAACCTTATGATGATGAGGAAACCAAAATCACACTTGAAGGGTGAACAGACTGCAAAGAACATAGATCCTCCTTTCAAAGCAATGATGTGTATGGGTAATGAGAGAGTTGTCATTTTCTAGCCTGAGAAATCATGGAAATTGCAGAAACCACTCCATGGTTACATTACTATCATGCAAGTGAAAAGACACTGCATTCTTTTCTACCTAGCTGGTTCTCTAATTTCTTAATCTTACCATTCTTTTCAAGGTGGAAAAAAGAAGAAGAACCCTTTAACGATGATCATCACGAGGATAATAATTAAGACATGATTCTGTACTTCGAATTCCACACACGGTGTGTTTTAAAATAGTGACAAAACAAAAAACAACATAGGGAACTGGTGTTTCATGTTTTTGCCCTGCCTTTTTTCAAACTTTCCCCACTTGAAACTCTGTGCAAAAAACCTAATATACATATATGATCTGCTGTATGCTGGAGGTTTGGTTTTTCGATTGATTCCTTGATAACTGAGACTGCTGCGGCAACGTACCGGCAGCGGCCTTCCTTTTGGTTCTTTCATGGCGGCCCTCGAGAAGTCAACGGGGATTTGAGTTTTTGTTCGAATGATGGGGGGAAATTCCATGCTGATTTGAATGTTTATTTGGATCATTGTAGTTATTGGTTTGAACTGGTTTTCGATATGGTTCGTTCATGAAACCATTATTCACTTCCAACAATTTTATGTAGTCGCAACACCGATCGAAAACGAATGCTTAAAAGGATGATCGCAGATTCTCGTCAACGGATTATGCAGGTGACTCGAATAATAAACGTTCTAAAAAGATGAAACTCAGACAACTAAATGTTTCAACTAGTTACGTGACAAGACACCTCGGTGACAACATAGTTACCATATCCACAATGCCCCATTATAACCCCTGTTACTAACAGTTGAGTTAATCAAAAGTGTATAATAATATACATACACCAGTCCTTTTCCAAGCATATGATGAATTAGCTTTAATTTGGCATACAAGGTTCGCTAATGAAAACCACTCTTCAATTTTCGAAGGATTATGTAGGTGAGTCGGTGACTGAAATAATATGTTCTATAAAAGATGAAACTCAGACAACTATACGTTTTAACTAATTATGTGACAAGACACTTTAGTGACAAAATGATTATTGTAATGAAAATGACCCAACAACCTCCTCAGGTTTTTTAACTAGTATTAAGGGAAGTCAATTTAAGTAATCCAAGAAATTAGTTAGATTAACAACAACAACAACAACAACTCAACTGTTTCCTTCATCTGATCTACTACATATATATTAGGTCAAGCATGCATGTCTGTCAGATTAATTGGATAGAAAATTTGGAGGTGCAATAAACCCATATATATTTAGTCTGTGGGATCTGTCTTTTCTGAAGCCAGTTGGCACCCTGTCAAATCTGACTGACTTTGTGCCAACAAAAAAACAAATTAAACACTCATTTGGCTAATAAGATAAAGTGGAAGTTCCATTGATTACTGTATCTATTAGCACCATAAACACTTTCAATTGTGTAATCATTCATCATCGACTCCATAAGACAATAGTTGGGACTAGAAGTGTGGTTCATCAATTTCCGTGGATTATATTTGAGGTTTAACTATTTAAGTCGAGACAATATTTACTACTATGTACTTATATAAGCGGCTCGGAATTTTATCAATCATTTTTAAATTCAATGAAAATTACTAGTTCAAGTAACACGAAAAGGAAAAAAAATGAGAAATTGTTTGTCCAGATCGGTCGAGTCGAACTTCTAACCGTTATCCAAAGAACGAATAACGAGATATGTTTGAAAAGCTCCACTTTTCCGCTTCTCCTCACTCAAGTTTTAAGCATGAAAGTGCATGTTAGTATCCGGTATTGCCTCACACACATATTCCCCCGTATCCATGGTCCATTCTGAACTCATAAGTACACTGAAAGAGATTCTAGCCTAAAAATAAGACTTGTTTGTGAGACAACGATTTAGAGACTTAAGGTTCGAATCACCGTAGCACGACACTTTCATTTGTCCTCCAATAACACATTTCTCGTTTAATAAACACCCGAACCGAAAGTCAAGCGAGCCTATAGTTTGTCTGGCAACATATTTCTTCATAAGAAGATGATAAGTACACTATAATAAAAACCATACCATATGGCTGACCAATCAAATTGTCTTCTCCACTCAGTTTTCTGAGATTTCCAATGCTCAGACTATTTGTATAGTTATATCTGATGGAATAATATCACTTACCGTCGAGCCTTATTACAATATTGGACCTAATTAATTAAAAACGGTTGGTGAATGTGAAAATTTAACTAGTATTTACATCGAAGTGGGGAACCTTTTGTTTTTGTAGTTCTAGGTAGGATCTCTCAAACTTTGAACCCTTTTTAAATTAACTTATTGAACCCTGCATATCAAATTTTCAACGGGTTAATGATAGAGGCAGTCATTTATGTTTTGGGTTATTAACAACATAGACGCTTATCTTTGATTTCCAACAAATTAGTACCTTGTATCGTATTGCTACTAACGAAAGTCATTTTGTTCATTACCATTCATTTCTCATTTAAACTATCTTCTCGACATGTTATGTTATCTAAACTATTGTTCGCAAAGTAAAACGAATTCTCTAATAAAATGACACGAGACGCATTTAATCGTAAACGAATCTGCCTACCCATTCAACCCATTTTGCACATTTCCACACCAAAAAGGTGTTCACTCCATGGATTTTTTGTGTGTGTTGATATAAATTGATTAATGTCTATAACTTCATTGGACATCAATTTCCGAACATAGCTGAAATCTTTTTGAACAAATTTCAAACTAGGGGGAAAAAATCTTATTAGCATCTAAGTTAACTTAAACTACCCCTAGGGACACGAATATCATACGACCATCATTAATCCTAATTCTACGAAGATCATTCTTTGAGAGTTTCGCAACTATATCTATGGGTTTGAAGAACAATATATAGAGACAAGGTGCTCTCCCGTGTGAATTTGAAGACCCTTCTCCCGATTTTTATTTTATAGAGATAAGGTGAAGCAAGTCTTGAAGTAACCATTGCATAGTTTATGTGCTCATTTCTTTTGTACCAAGTATATATATATCAGGTGAAAAATAGACCTACCAACAACAGCAATACCAGCATTCATATACAAAGCAGCAGAAACTGCATATTTCAGTCACCTTTCCTTTTTCCATTTGATGTATTTTATATTGGCATAATGTCAAAGGTTAAGACCATTGAAAACAACTAAGAGACGATTCTGTGACAAGGGTTAGTTTCATGGACACCTCAAGACAAAGATTAGGTATCTTCTTATGCCATATTCTATTAGCCATTAGCCCCACAAAATTATGTTTTCCCACCAAAACATAAAGAAGAAAAGGGAAAAAAGACGACCATCAAGACAAAAGAGAGAAAAAAACACACCTCCTCCCCTGTTTTCCTTCTTTTGTTGTTACTACTACTAGCATCCAATGTCTTAACAGTTATCTCCTTTCATCCCTTTTGAGGTTGAATCTTTAAATCTTAGGCCTTTTTCTTTTTGGGTTTGAAGGCTTATTGTGTTCTTCTTTTTTTCTGAAGATCCCCTTTCAGCAAGTTACCATTTGGACATTTATCCTTTTTCCTCTTCCTTCTTTTCATTCCCTTTTGCACTTTTTTTTTGGCCTTGATCCATGCTATAACTTAATCCCATTGTGTTTGGAAGCATTCACATTCACCATACTTTTTACTTGCTCGAGGGGAAAAAGGAAGAAAAACTAATGGAGTTGAAGGTGGGGAGGGAAAAGTTCAAGCTCTTAATTATGGTGTCGTTGGAAGTGTTGTTTTCATGGGTTTCCATCATATATCTCATTATTATTAAGGTCCACAATTTGTTGACATTGGGTTAGAGGGATACCCCTTCTCATTTACTCACAAAGTGGATCATTCTACATCAAGATGATTAATGGGGTTGAGGTAGAAGTTGGTATATGGTCGGATTGGATATGAAATCATATCAAATTGATTCAACTTGATCATATGTTGTTTCAATTTATTTATTTCTTTTGTCTTCAAAGATTCAATCAAGCTAAAAACGTATGACTAGATAGATTTGAGATGGTTTGGCGCATCAATCATCGCAAGGTGGAAGCGCAACTTGACTCTTTCTGCTGCGGTGGCCCTCATTAGGAATCACGATGAACCGATTCACCAACATACATCCCTCGTGGCTCGTACTCCAATTTCGTTCCCTGTTGAAGCGTGTTTGGCAAGTCCATATCATCCATATTTATCGTTAAGGCAACTGTTTAGCTAATTGCCTAGCTAACTAGGGTTTGTCCCTTCCGTTGGATACCCATGTTATTTCTATTCTTGATCCCGACATTAGACATTCATTCAATAATAATACAAATATCAATGTATTTCATCGCCCTTATTTCTCATCCAAATTTTTGTATGACACTGAAACTAATTACTTCTCGGTTAAAAGAACAGCTAACTAGTTATTGATTTTGGAATTGCCCAATTATTAGTCTTCAATACAAGACATTTAATGATCAACCCTAAATAAAGAAGTTCGCAACTTTGAGGCGTACAAAACAATTTTTCTACATGAAAATGGTGCCCATAGTCCATAGATGCTGCCATTTGCCATGCTTGTATGAGAAAGAAGATGGGAGCAAAGAGTTGAGGGAGAAGGTGACCAACTCCCCCCACTTGCTTGCCAACACTCTGAAAAAAATGAAAGGAAATTAATATGGAAACTTGGGTTTATAGACCTTCTTTGGACTTAATTGCAAAACACAGATTTATTTCTCTTTTTCTTTCTTCCTTTCACTACCTTTGGATTATTGTGGCAGCCATTGTTATAGCCACTACTACTATTTAGCTCCCTGTAGGTCGTCACTTTTCCAACTTTCCCCTCTTTTCACCTTTTCTTTCTTTCGTGTACATTTTGACCTTTTAGAGGGTCTACGCTCTTACGTCTCTCCAAACAAAGCAAAAGGGCAAAGCATTGGCAATTAAAAGGGCACACGAGGCCACTCCTAAACTCGTTCTTCATGGTTTGATGCCAAGCAAAAAACAGAGGGGAGAAGACGAGGGAAAAGCTGGTTTATCTGTAAAGAAGAAGAGTATAGTTTTTTCCACTTCATATTTCATCTTTCCCCTGGTCAAAAGCCTCAATCTTTTGTTTACTTTTGTTTGTGAAAAACAAATTTTGGTGGCAGCTGAAAGACGGGCCCTTTTTCTTTCCCCTCTTTTCCTCACTCTGATTGCTTCTTCCAGTCTCACTCTGGGTAGCCATTGAAAACTAGTACACAAGGTTTCGGACCCTTTAATTAAGCCTTACCCGTGAAACCCATTTGGCGTGTTTGACATTATCAGCTGTCCACACAATCTGGGTCGTTGTCTCTCTGGGGAAAAGACTCGAGCTTTGGAAGTGGAATGGTAAGTGGTAACTTTCATACTGGTTTTCCCCTCAGCTCTCTCTCTCCCCCCTCATAAATGCAACGTTTTTCTGTTAGCTGTATCAATTTTTGGTGGGGATTTGGATTCTGGGCAGATGGGTTTCGAAGAAGGCGGCAAAGGGGGGAAAATGGCGGGAGGGAGAGTGGTTGATTGTGGTCACAAGCGTTCAAAGAGGTAAGCTAGAGCTAGTTTTCCCAGTTTCTTTTGCTTACTCCTTTTAGTTGGTGGGAGGGATTTCTGAGGTAGACTTGTTTGGAAGCATTTTAGATGCTTATGCATATGCTGCCGAACGAATCATGGGGTTTTTGGCGTGTGACTGAGAACAAGGTGAATAATCTGGTACCATGATGGCTACAATATGTTTTTTTGGCTGTAGTGCTTGTGGTCCGAGCTTTTGGAGGTATTTTAGCCATTATAGCAAACCGGGGCAAGGTTTTCCTTAGTTCTTTTATGGAATTTTGATAACAACAAACGAACACTCCCCTCCAGTGAAAGTGGTGGGCTTCTTTTCATCTTCCAACAAGGCCTTCTCTCTGATATATATTTCTGTAATATCAATGAGCTACCGTTGGTCGTGGGTAGCAAATGAGAACAGTTTTAGGAAGATGGGTTTTAGGAAATTGTTTGCTAGATGGACCTCTGGTAGAAGGTAGCTTTGAAATTTAGACTTCTTCTTCCTCCTCTTTTTCTTCTGGTGCGTAATTTGCTGGAGAAGTCAGATTGTTGTGACAAGAAATAATTATGGTTCTACTGTATTTTTGTGTGTGTTTCACTTGTAGCAGCTTCCCTGACAAGAAAGGATTGAAAGAGGATGGACCAGATAGTTCGCTTGGAGCTTCACAACGTAGCAAGCTTGTAAGGGTTTTCCTTTTTGGAGAGTCAAAGGGAACAGCTTTCTTAATCTTGGCATTAGTAATGTTGTTGAGGGTTTTGCTTGTGCCAGCTAATTTAGCCCCAATGTTTTATGAGGGGCTGGCAAACAAAGCAAGGCATTATTTAGATTGATTCTTGATTATGTTCTATTTGAGACTTTATTTTCCCTATGTGCACTACAATCTGCAGATTCTGTTTCTTGTTTGCTGAAAGAGGGCATCTAGTTGCCCCTCTTGGCACTGGTTCAGAATGTGTACAACTACAGTATCTTGTTTTATGTGTGATTGATGTAATTGTGTGATGTTTAATGCACAGGATATGGGATACCTACAGGAGTCTATCAAAAGCCAGAGAAAACAATCCCCAAAAGTTGAAGCCCGTAGTTCTTTGAAGCAAGAGGTCGTTGACTCAAACCTTCATTTTCCTGAAACTAGTTGAAGCCTCTGGTTCAACTTATTCGTTAACTATGGTTTGTTGCAGATTCAGCAGCTTGAGAAAAGATTGCAAGACCAATTCGAGGTTCGTCGTGCTCTGGAGAAGGCATTGGGTTACCGGACCTCCTCCCTTGGGGAGATACCTGAAGACTTAATGCCGAAGGTGAAACCTCAGATTCCTTTTACTGCTTCTAGACATACTTCCATGGCAAAGTTGGTCTTAGCAAAAAAAATTTACTTTGTATTGTGCTCTCTGTAATTCCAGCCAGCCACAGAACTTATCAAGGAAATAGCAGTGCTAGAGCTCGAAGTTGTGTATTTGGAACAGTACCTCCTCTCATTGTACAGGAAAGCATTTGATCAGCAAACATCTTCAGTGTCTCCATCCAGCAAGGAAGAAGGCTCCAAATCAGCTGTTACTACTCCAAGGCTCAGATTCCAGAATGTTCCCCCGAGACCCAATGTCATGTCATCGAGAGACAATTTAACGCTTCAATCACAGGACAACCCATCAAAGGAAAAACTATTATTAGACTCCAGCATCCAACGCTCTCAATCCTCTCTCTCACAATGCTCAGCATTTCCTGCAAGACTTTCTCCTCCAGAAGCAGATTCATCTTTGGGAAGAGCTGTCCGTGCTTGTCATTCGCAGCCTTTGTCTATGATGGAGGTAGCTAGCTTCATTTCCATCCCTTTTACCTAACTACTCGATTGGTCCTAGTGTAAAATCTAATTCCCTGCTGTCCTGTGATGTAGTATGCGCAAAATGCAACGAATATGATCAGTTTGGCGGAACACCTCGGGACAAGAATCTCTGATCATGTGCATGACACACCTAACAAGCTTTCTGAGGATATGATTCGTTGCATGTCTGCCATATACTGCAAGCTTTCGGACCCACCGGTGACAAATAACGGCTTGTCTTCTCCAGTATCGTCGATGTCCTCAATGAGTGCATTTTCTCCACAAGAACAATGTGATATGTGGAGTCCTGGGTTCAGGAACAATTCTTCATCCTTCGACATACGGCTAGAGAACCCGTTCCTTGTTGAGGGACTAAAGGAGTTCAGTGGACCATACAGTACGATGGTCGAAGTCCCCTGGATTTATAGGGATAATCAGAAGTTGGGAGATGTCGAGTCCTTGCTGCAGAATTTCAGGTAAAGATAATGCCAAAAAGTTTGAACCTTGTGTTGTCATGTGATCTCTTTCTAACCTTGATGAACTATTTTCTGTAGATCATTGATTTGTAGATTGGAGGGAGTTGACCCAAGGAAGCTGAAACATGAAGAGAAGCTCGCTTTCTGGATCAATGTTCATAATTCTCTAGTGATGCATGTAAAATTTTCTCTCCTTACACTGATTTTTTGAGTTTATACTCCTGGATAGGATGCAGTGGATCTTTTTTAAGCAGTTGACCTTACTGGTTTTCCCCCCGGCCATTAGGCGTTTCTTGCATATGGTATTCCACAGAACAATGTCAAGAGACTCTTCCTTCTGTTAAAGGTAAATACCCATGTCCCCTTTCTCAACTGAAAAAAAAAAAAAACTTCAATGAGGTTATGTTTTATTGGCTCTTACTCCTTTGCTCACTTCAGGCTGCTTATAATGTTGGCGGTCATACAATCAGTGCAGACGCGATTCAGAGCAACATCCTTCAATGCCGGATGTCACGTCCTGGCCAGGTACATTTGAGAATGAGTCCATTTTCCTCTCAATTGTTTTTTGATATCACAAACTTGATATCGTTCGTCTTGTGAAGCTAAAAATTTACTGTTCTTTTCTCTCCTTACAATCACAGTGGATTAGGTTACTTATCCCTTCTAGATCCAAATTCAAGTCGGGAGATGAAAGGCAAAGCTACACAATTGATCACCCAGAACCTCTGTTGCATTTTGCACTCAGCTCGGGTAGCCATTCCGACCCCGCGGTAAGCCATTCCCTCCTCGAACAACCAAACTTTCAACTTGCTGCTTGAGACTTGAGTTCGTCCCAAGAAACGAAATCTTGATGTTCTTATTGGTCACTTGATTCAGGTACGTGCCTACACGCCAAAGGCGGTATATCAAGAGCTGGAAGCAGCGAAAGACGAGTACATTCGAGCCACATTTGGGGTACGAAAGGACCAGAGGATCCTACTCCCAAAGATCGTCGAAACTTTTGCAAAGGACTCGGGTCTAAGTCAACCCGCTGTAGTCGAAATGATCCAAGGGTCTCTGCCGGATTCTCTGAGGAAATGTGTCAGGAAATGCCAGCTAGGAAAGCCTCGCAAGATCATCGAGTGGATGCCACATAACTTCAGTTTCCGGTACCTGATCTCGAAAGAGCTGGCTAGATGACATTGCCATATAATAGTTTGTCGGTGTCGAGCTCGATATATATATGCTTTTTTGAATCAATTCTATAGGGAAAGGTGTGTTCATCATTTTGTAAAAAGGGGTAAAGTAGGAAGGTGAGATATCAGTGAAAGCATTTTCCATGTTAGGAGAGTAGAGATTCTTAACCCAACGCCAATCTGTTTTTTGTGCCTAGTAATGGTTATATTGTAATTGGGCAGTTTGCCTCTGGTGTGCCGTGTCATCTCAGGAGAAAGGGTAATAGGTTTCTGTGATGATGGTGTCAAGATTGATGAAAATGAAATGGAAATGTGTGCATTGACTATTTGTACATAAATTCTGCAGCTTTCTCAGAGCAAATACCATTGTTTTATCAGTGTAACTGAACGGCAAGATGAATAGTTTCCTTATATCATGTCTCCTTCCAGTTTACTGGTATCTCACCATGAATGTGTGATTCATTGCAACTGCAAATGTAAAAGGTTCCAAAGAACAGCAACTTGGTTCAACATAAGATCCAGCAAGTCCAGAGAAGTACCAATCAAGGTCACCTGCAAAAACTAGAGGACCAAAAGTAATTTTAGCAGAATCAACCACCTTGCTTTCCAAATACACACGCATAAAAGAACAACAAAGGTCGAAACTTGGAGATTAAAATGCATATAACACATTACCCATTATCGGTTTACTATTCTTCTATCATAGGCAAGCTTGGAGCAGCAGCTAGGTGCTGACCTCAAATGTGCCTAAATTTGAGGGATCATGCCCATACGGCTACTAATGATGAAACTGTTGGGGAAATTGTTCACGTATACTATTTTCTTGCAACACAAGCAAAAAACATAAGATTAAGAAAACATGCAAAGACACATGCAAGCGTCCTAGCCGATAGAATTCACTATCTCTCCTTAAAGAATCTTATTCCCCTCAAGTACCCAAGGTTGTGGAATGATTCCTCCCAGGATAGAAAGGACGTACCTTTTCCGGCGTAGCGGTACCTCAAACCCCGGAAACACCATCGAACGCAGCGAAACGGCGAGAACCACACTTGACTCTATTTTCTCTTTGAAAAGAATGCAGAAAAACTAGTTTTGGATTTTGGCAGAGTTTCGGTACCGGGAAAAATCCATGTAAAACCCGTTGTAAAAACAAGAGGTGGTATGGTGCTATTTATAGAAAATGAAGGGATGCATTGAAGGGAGGCAACTCTTCATATGGGTGGTTACACCCCAACCATTGCATTGGTTCGTTTAAAATATTTCAACCATTGCATTGGTTCGGCCTCAAGGAAGTTGGACCGGTTTGGTTATTCCAACCGCCACATCGGTTCGGTTCGATTTGGTTCAACTCGGTTTGGTTCATTTGGTTACACAAACCAATTTAACCAACTAACCACATATTACATCAAATCGATCGAATTCGAGGCCGTGCCTTCCCACATCTTACCAACATGGTACTTCAAGAGACTCTCTTGAAACTTTCCCCTTTTATTTCCATTCACACCACTAAAAATCCCAACAATCCCCCACATGAATGGAGAATGTTGTACTTTAAAAACTGTGCAAAAAATCGTGTGATTCTCGACTAAGAATTAGTTGCATCGGAATAGGTAGGTTTCCCTTTGAACCTTCCTTAGTGAACATATATCGAGTATACTCACCAATCGGTAGATGTGATATCTTTGAACCGTCGGTTTTTCGTGTATACTAAGACAACATATGTCACACACCTAACTCTTATCCGTTCACTGGTTCTCATTGTTGTGTTCGTTTCAGCCATGAACACCGCCTGGTTTCATGAGTGTGTAGAGAATTGGCCTTCTTTTATTCTCCTTGAAGCGGCTCCACTTCACACTCACATAGGTGATTTCTAAACGTGTATTCCGAAAATACACTATTTGATCACATCCTGTGTCAAACTTAGAAGCCATTAAAAACCTTCCATCTTTAGGTTTACCCTTATAGTTGGACATTGTCTCATCATGAAAATGGACTTTGAATAATTTGACAATGTCGGACCATCAATCACAACTTTGTTTCTCCTTGAACCTAGAGGTTGGGTCTGCCAATCCTGCTTAGGTAGAGTTACCGCCATGAAGATTTGTCCTAGGCCACGAGTCCATTCCCTTCGATGCTGTCGTTAATTTCTAGGTAGGCCTAACGTTTGTTATCACTTGATCTAAGATGATCAATCCAAATAACTTTGCTAGAAATTAATCAATCCATAGTGTTACGTTTCCATTATCTTTGACGAGATTTATCACATAACACTCCTAGCCCTTGCAATAACACCTTTCTTTGCGTGCCAAACTACTCAACTTCACCGGTCTTAGAGTTTAACTTGGACGTTTTCCAAGATACTGCTCCTCGTTAACCATAAATGCCTATCCATTAATGGACTATGGCTTTTGGTTCATCCGGTGAGTTCCCTTTGGGTACAATACACCAAAGACTCGTCTCTTTCCAATTCACTACACATCTTGTGAGCTTGACTTGATTTTATTGTCTTGCAATAATCATAACACATGTCAACGGTATTGAAGTCTCTCCACTTCATTAACCTTAAAGTACTTGAGCTTCACAAGTATCTTTTTAAATGTAGTGACATTTATGACTTAGCTTAGGGTTTACGCAAATCTTCTAAGTATCACTTTCACTTTAGAATCACCCAAGCGACATTCCACATTACTTCTCCCCAATTTATCCCCCACATTTCAACTATTTCGCCGTAGTTGTTGAAACCAACGTTTCCTATTTGGGGAATGTTGTTCATATACATTCATGTATATGGTCAAAGGCATCTCTTTGGGAAGAGTGGATCAACATCAATAAATATTCTAGCTCTCTGACATAACGTCATTATACGCTAGAGTTTACTCATAAGTTATACCCTTAGACTGGGTTAACTCCACAAGGTTTAAGGACTCTCACTTTCTCATTGGACACCTTCATACTTTCAAGTATGACTTCGTTTACCTTTCCACTCTTGTCTTATGGATAGGTTTGCGTCCCATTGTAGGGTCTTGAGATAGTAGCCGAAACAATGGCTAGCTCTTCTCCCCCACAATTCTACCCTTTGCCAAAATCATGGAATAATCCCATTTATTTTCCATGGTTTTACTTATTGAACTTGCCAACCACTATATGTATCTAATTGTTTACCAATGGTATGATCTCACTCGATTAGCATACCACAAACAATTCAGAATTTTATTAGAAAAATCATCCAATTACTTACCAATGGTATTGATCAAGGCAACTTGAGACGTCATAAGTAATTCAGATGCATTCCAGTAATGGAAATCCCATCTAATTACTTTCCAATGACATTTCATCTATGTAACATGATATACCACAAGTAATTCAAACGAATTTCTAATTCAATTGTCTAATTACTTTCCAATGGTATAAACTTCATAAATATACCATAAGTAATCCAGTCTTTATGTTCAATAAGATCATCTCAATTGAGCTCTCATGCCAAATTGTTTTCCAATGATATACATCTATATATACCATAAACAATTCTGGCAACTAGCTCCACGTTGATAATCATAGTCATCTTGATGACGACCATCATTTGGCAAGCTTATTAAATCCCTTTAAGAATCAATCATAGCTTCATTTTCCTTGCCCTCGTGGCATAGGAAATATCAAGTCCTAAACCACATACATAATAAACAAATTATCATGTCTTCACAACTATCACAGGAACTAGAATTCCTTATCGCTTATAGCTTTCTCGTAATGCAATCCTTAAACATGCATTAACCAAATTTCATCTCCAACACATTGGAGGTATACTCTTTCAAACTATGTCCAACATACTATGAACATTACGTTTGAACCATTCCGGCTTAGATAAACTTGACTCACAAGTCCCCACTTGCCACACTCCATAGGTTTTACACACCTATGATTGTTCATATTCTCCCACTAGATAGTTTACTACTATCCAAACCACCGTTACTTAGAGTCCATGAAGGATTATAATAAGTACTTCCATCATCTCATGCATCACCTTGAATGAAGTCCAAATTAAATTGGCACATTTATCATTCATCCATGCCACAAAAATGAAATGGACCAATGCAATAAAAGCATTAAAACTTTGTGGTTAATTTTGGAACCAAACAAACTCGTAAGGTTTTATCCTACTAATTTTCCATTTGGGAGATAAGAACATTTGTCCTTTATTCATCATGTAAACACATGACTTACATAGGTACACACATATCAATACCATATGTATAATACACACATACATATGTCTACTCCTCAAAGGAGATTACAATACATATACAAGAATCCTAAAGATTCTTGGGATAGAAGTCAAGATCAGAGAGGCATTCATCGGTCGCTATGTCGGAGTACTCCTCCTCGTTCTCCGATTCCTCAACTTCCTCTTCTTCCCCCATACTCTCCATCGAGTCCACATGAATGCCCAAATCATCCACCTTAGGACCCATTGAGTACCAATCATAGATGGGTATCCCATCTAGAGTCCAACAATTATTCCCCTCAAGTACCCAAGGTTGTGGAATGATTCCTCCCAGGATAGAAAGGACGTACCTTTTCCGGCGTAGCGGTACCTCAAACCCCGGAAACACCATCGAACGCAGCGAAACGGCGAGAACCACACTTGACTCTATTTTCTCTTTGAAAAGAATGCAGAAAAACTAGTTTTGGATTTTGGCAGAGTTTCGGTACCGGGAAAAATCCATGTAAAACCCGTTGTAAAAACAAGAGGTGGTATGGTGCTATTTATAGAAAATGAAGGGATGCATTGAAGGGAGGCAACTCTTCATATGGGTGGTTACACCCCAACCATTGCATTGGTTCGTTTAAAATATTTCAACCATTGCATTGGTTCGGCCTCAAGGAAGTTGGACCGGTTTGGTTATTCCAACCGCCACATCGGTTCGGTTCGATTTGGTTCAACTCGGTTTGGTTCATTTGGTTACACAAATCAATTTAACCAACTAACCACATATTACATCAAATCGATCGAATTCGAGGCCGTGCCTTCCCACATCTTACCAACATGGTACTTCAAGAGACTCTCTTGAAACTTTCCCCTTTTATTTCCATTCACACCACTAAAAATCCCAACAGAAACATACTGAATTACTGCTGCTGCAACTCTCAAACATAAGTTGTTAGGATATGCATATATTGTAATTATATGATGATGTAAGGCAGCAGGATCTTCTCCAATTCTCTGAGGTCAGGAGGATCGCATACGTCTCTGCTTCATTAACCACCTATCTCTGTTATCCATTTGTGATGAATTCATTCGTCACACGATATTAGAGGTTTTAACGACCAAACTAACACCGAGCTCGAATCTTTATAATGTTGAAGGTTGACGCGTACTCAATCGCATCATGGCGGACTTGGCAAGAAGTTTTGAGGTTAATGATAAGATTTTTCGTTTGAGAAAGCACGTTAGAGTGTTTCATAAAATTTACTTTTAAGTTTCTCTTAACAA